ATAGGAGACATTAAAAGCAATTTAAAAATGGAAATCTACTGTTTGCTACTGCAGTAACCCATGCGCTTCCTAAGCAACCCTGCTGAACCAGCCAAATTTTGATCCTTCTATGGCCAGCTTAAAAAGGGAAATACTGTCACATTGATTATATGGAATTCTAAGAATTCCTCTCACTTTCTGTTGTTTCTCTAGGACTGAATATGAAGATAAACCTCTCAAAGGCTCTGCTTCCTTCTTTACAGTACTACAGTATATAGATGATAAAGCTTATCTAAACGAGCAAACACGTTAATATTTTGCAGCTTAACACTCCTTAAAGTTGGGGGCTGCATTAGTTTTCTTTGCTTTCTTTATTTTCACCTGGTGATCAAGCCAGTAACTCACTTCCTATCTTAAAGGGGCTCCACTCTGGATGGAGGCATAGTAGAACCACCCTTACACAGCAGCATGGCTAACATGTGGAGGCGGTATATGTGTATTCACTGCGCTATGGTATAACAATATAAAAGTATAAATTAATAAGTAAGATAATAAAATGGTGTTCTATGTACACAAAAGACTGCCACTGTTCATTAATAACCTATATTAGGAAACCCACGTGTACTATTTATTCCTGCACAGTGCTGTCTCCACCTCACAACTAAAAATGTGCTATCACCCCTAAATCATCATAACAACTCCAAATGTATATGTAAAGAACTCAAGGTATACACACAAAAAACTCCAAACTTATACATAAACCACAGAAATGTGCTTAACCCTTTGAGGACCGTAAGATTTTGGAACACCAAAAGAATCAATTTTTTTTGTTTTTAAAGTTCGTACACTTCAGTTGCTGTAACTAAGCCATTTCATGAAATAATTGGCAAAAAGCTAGATCCATTTGTTGTTTGTTGATAAGAACTAATATTTTGCCTCAAACCAAAAAAAAAAAAGAGTTTTAAGTTTTTAATCAGATGATACACGCAATTAAAAACATGGGACAAATACGTCCCTTGGTCCTCAAAGGGTTAACCACAAAAAGCCCCATTCAATTTTAGGTGCTCATTCTTATAAAACGTCCACCAGAGCAATCTTAGTTTATATATCCTCTTCTTTGTGCTTCATGCAAGGACAAATTTTATGTGCTCCCCCTGAACTCCCACACTCACCAAAAATTGTTGACCCAGTGATTTTCAGCGTATGAGTCTCACACACTTGTGGATTCTACCTTCCCGGGTTCTTTTCAATGGTTTTCAGACTCTATACTCCTCTGTTGTTGTTTATCAGCTCTTTCCACCACATCTGTGGATCCGGTCCTCCTGGGGTTTTTTTTCGATAAAATGGCAACACAAGGGGGAACTGCCATAGTGTATTAAAATACCTTTTTGATAAAAGAAAAAGCCATTACAGTCACATATGTTTGAACAGAAAACCGCATGTAGTCACGGATACGCCACTGCGGCGTGCATTCCATGGATCGGGCGTGATATCACCGGAAGTCCTGCCCAATGTGCTTCGCCTAGCCAATTGGCGTCATCAGGACCAGCTGCTACTAATATTGAAAGGGACTTTTTGTGGTTAAGAACATTTCTGTGGTTTATGATAAGTTTGGAAATGTTTCTGAAGCTGTTTATGTATACCAGGGTATCTCAACCAGAGTTCCATGGAACCCTAGGGTTCCTCCAGAGGTTGCTAGGGGTTCCTTGAGCAACGAGCAATTTCTGTCTCTCAAAAAGGCTCTCACTGACACCATTGATCTTTTTAGCTATCTATAAGGGGGTAATTCTCCCCAATGACCAAAAGTGTAAGGAGCATTCTCCTCACTGACCATCACACTAATGTTTTACGTGTTGTAGATACAGTCATTTTTAGTAGGGATTTCCTGAGATCAAAAAGTAATTTCAGGGGTTCCTTTGTGTTCAAAAGGTTGTATACATTTGGAGTTGTTATGATGATTTAGGGGTAACAGCACATTTTTAGTTGTGAGGTGGAGACAGCGCTGTGCAGGAATAAATAGTGCACATGGAGAGGGTAGTCTTAGGCTGGCTATACACTATACAATTTTCTGTCCAATTTCCTTTAGATTTACCTTCAACTATGTAGTGCAAGAGCCTGCCTAATTGGATACAATTGAAAGTGTTGCTAGGTTTGACCTCCTATTATATGGTTTTTGGTAAATCTAAACCAAAAATCTCAAGAAAATTGTATAATGTATGGCCAGCCTTAGATTAGATGCGCTACAAATGAAAATGTTACTTGACTAGCAAATTAAAGCTGAACTCCAGCTAACACTTTTTAAGTACTTGAAACAACATTTTTTTTTTTTTGGGATGAAGTTTTTCTACAAATAAATAAAAGCTGGCCATTGTAAGCACTACCTGTCAGCGGCAAATGGTTTATCCCAAACCTCTAACAGCTTGGTCAACTGGACAACTTGGTTTGTTACAGAAAGTTGAAAAATTACAAATTTCTTGGCCACATCAACCGGTGAAAATAAAGAAAAAAAGCCCCAAAAAACCCCCAAAAGTAAAAGTATTGGTAAGCTGCTGCTTACATTTTTGCTTATGTGTTTAGATATGCTTTAGTGTGTATTGGTATCATCAATATGTGGCATTTTGGGTCAGTCCCAAACAAAGCGCTAGTGACCTACCTAGAGATAGGTGGTCATGGGAGGATGATGAGTGTAAATCCATGTGGGGCACCAGTCTGAGCACTATGAAGCACTTGTCACTGTAATTACGGAATCCATTACCAAGAAATCAGCACGCTTGCACTTTATTTGCACATGTTGGGACTGCACAAAAGTTGTTTTTTATTATTATTTTTTTAATTATGGTTATTATTATATTTACGAATATGTTTTTTGTGTGTCACATTCTGTATGCGCAGTCTATATGATAGAGTTTGTATTTTTTGTGTCTATTCAGTTCACAATTAGGACTTCTGCAATGTAGGATATTAGTAGAGCAGCAGTATCCTTTTCTAAAAAAAAAATGTAGCCGTGCCTGGAGTTGGGCTTTAAAGAGTATCTAATCTGCAATATATACATTTTTTGCTTGTGTGTTTAGATATACAGTATTTTAGTGTGCCAAATGAAAAAAAAAAAATAGCTGTGCCTGAAGTTGGGCATTAAAGTGGAACTAAAGTCTCCATACTTACCTGTCCAATAGTACTGCGCTGGTGCTTGCATCTTCTTTTGAGTGCCGGGCTTTGGACCTCTTTATTGGTCGGCGGGAGATGTCGTCACTCCTGCACATGTGCAGGAGGCCGTCCTCTTGGAACTCAGAGACCGGCCTGGCACTGTAAGCTGAGCTGCGCATGTGCAGGAGGCCGTCATCCTGGAACTCGGAGACTGGCCTGGCACTGTAAGCTGCGCATGTGCAGGAGGCCGTCATCCTGGAACTCGGAGACCAGCCTGGCACTGTAAACTGAGCTGCGTATGTGCAGGAGGCCGTCATCCTGGAACTCGGAGACCGGCCTGGCACTGTAAGCTGAGCTGCTCATGTGCAGGAGGCCGTCATCCTGGAACTCGGAGACCGGCCTGGCACTGTAAGCTGAGCTGCTCATGTGCAGGAGGTCGTCATCCTGGAACTTGGAGACCGGCCTGGCACTGTAAGCTGAGCTGCTCATGTGCAGGAGGCCGTCATCCTGGAACTTGGAGACCGGCCTGGCACTGTAAGCTGAGCTGCTCATGTGCAGGAGGTCGTCATCCTGGAACTCGGAGACCGGCCTGGCACTGTAAGCTGAGCTGCACATGTGCAGGAGGCCGTCATCCTGGAACTCGGAACCAACCTGGCACTGTAAACTGAGCTGTGCATGTGCAGGAGGCCGTCATCCTGGAACTCAGAGACCGGTCTGGCACTGTAAACTGAGCTGCGCATGTGCAGTAGGCCGTCATCCTGGAACTCAGAGACCGGCCTGGCACTGTAAGCTGAGCTGCGCATGTGCAGGAGGCCATCATCCTGGAACTCGGAGACCGGCCTGGCACTGTAAGCTAAGCTGTGCATGTGCAGGAGGCCATCATCCTGGAACTCGGAACTGACCTGGCACTGTAAACTGAGCTGCGTATGTGCAGGAGGCCATCATCCTGGAACTCAGAGACCGGCCTGGCACTGTAAGCTGAGCTGCGCATGTGCAAGAGGCCGTCATCCTGGAACTCAGAGACCGGCCTGGCACTGTAAGCTGAGCTGTGCATGTGCAGGAGGCCGTCATCCTGGAACTCGGAGACCGGCCTGGCACTGTAAGCTGAGCTGCACATGTGCAGGAGGCCATCATCCTGGAACTCGGAGACCGGCCTGGCACTGTAAGCTGAGCTGCGCATGTGCAGCTCAGTTTACAGTGTTGGAGGAGAAGGCAATAAAAGCCTGCCTGCTCACAGTTTTTTTTTACAGTGGGACTTCAGTTCCGCTTTAAAATGTATCTAAACCAAATCCAAGAACGAAAATGAAATATATTGCAGCTTACCAGTAATAACCGTAGATGTAGAGACTGCATTATTTTTCTTTTTTTATAGCTTATTTTCCCCTTTATTTTCACCTGTTAATTCTTCAAATAAATATGTCCTTTCCTAGGTTGGCAACTCTATTCATTTAAACGTTTTTATATAAAAAATGATTTGCTCAGTCAAAATGCTCTATTTCCTTTCAAACTATAATAGCAATATGGTATAGCAGACTTTCATTACTGTAGAAACATGTCGATTAATTGATAATGTAAAAAATATGTGTTCAGGTGAGATAATACATTTCTGGAGGAAGTGTGAAACTGATTTGTTTTTTTCCTGCTTTTATTTTACAGATAACACAAAACTTTTGGCAGCTATTCTTGGCGCTGTGGGCGGTGCAATAGCAGTTTTGCTACTAGGCCTTGCCGTTCACTACCTACTGCAAAATGGGAAAAAGGGGTTTTTTATGATCTTGTGAGACGAATACCAAATAATCCGCATAGTACAGAAGTTCCACTGCAGGAAAATAGCTCAGTCTAGAACTGGTAGTTTCTCATTTAAAGTGTTACTAAACCCAGGACCCTGTATTCACTATATCTGATCTCCCACAGTACACAGAACATGGAAATGCAATTATTTTAGTAAATATAAACTGCTAAATACCTTTTCTCATCAGCAGTTAGAGCAGTCTTGTAACTTCAAGAGAGCACTGGATAAAGCTTGGAGGAGGAGTTTTCTTTCTGCTGTAGGAGGATGCAGAACCCCTGACCTCGGTCTGGACAGTGCTGATAGGCCCTGTGCTGATCACATGAACTCTCCCAAGAAAAAAAAAAGTCTCTAGCAATACAAACTAAACTGAGCATGTGCATGTTTCTACAAGTTCAGTCTGTCTTATCAGGTGGACATTTGAACAAGAGGAGGGTCAGAGAAGACAGGATCAAATGGTCTTTTTACACAAAGCAGAGGATTAACCCCTTAGGTTCCACAGTGAGCATAACAAGCTTGCTTTACTGCATATACAGACTGATTTTACTGATATGGGTTTAGTAACATTTTAAGTATAATTTTCTGGCCTGTACGGTTTTGTCAGCACAGACATTTTGAATGTATAGCCTGGCCAAATACTGATTTTTATGCATACTTCACAATGCAGTTACGTCCGAGAAAAAAAACAGGCCTAGACAAAAACTTGGGACACGTCCACGTATGAACAATCTGGGTGTGAAGCTTGTATACAGAGAGGATCCTGTCTTCTAATATGTCATTTGAATTCTTTTAGGCCTGGACAATAGATTTCAATGGATCTTATCCTTTATATTTTGTACAGATCTCAATTTCTGTGTGTGTTTCTTTGGCATTGTGTAACTTACCTACACCTCCATTACTGTACCCTCCTATATATGTGTGTGTTCCTCTTCTGTATTTAATGTTTTTGCAAAATTGGCAACAAATTATTATAGTCTGGGAATAAAACTTTTTTAGAGAAAGATACTAGAGGAAAACACTAAAATTCTGAATATTACGGGATAGAATTGGCAGAGCACATGTCGAACTCTAGCACATAATAACTGTGATAAATGTGAAAAGATTTGTATACTCGATATACAAAGGATGGAGTCGGAGATAGGCAGGATAGATTAAGATACTGTTTACAAGACAGAAGGATACACAGGGTAGGTGGACGGTTGATCAGAATGGATAGATATGGAAAAATACTGTTGGGGCTATTTATAAATTCTATTGCATGTCTAAAAATAAAATATAATGAACTGGAAAGGAATCTGAGAGAATAAGAAAGGGGATAGACAGAGCTGGCAATGAGTGAAGTGGTGAGAGTAGGTAGGAAGTGAACTAGGAACGACCGATAGAATAAAATCATAGCATATAGCGGGGTCTCCAGACTTTCTAAACAAAGGGCCAGTTAGACTTTAGGGGTCTGACTGTGGATAGCGAGAGTAGAAAACATCCTGGCATCAGTGGGAGTAAACAGTGTCCCATCATTGGTGTCATTGGGGGAATAGTGACCTGTAGTTGATGTCAGCGGAAGGAATAGTGCCCCATCGGTGGTATTGGTGGGGGAGATAGTGATCTATTGTTGGTGTAAGAGTCAGAAATTATGTCCCATCATTGGTGTCAATGGGGGGAATAGTGCTCCAGGGGCTAGATAAAGGCAAGCAAAGGGCCGCTACCAGCCCTCATCTGCAGTTTCAAGCAGTGTTAATTTTGTTGATTAAAATATTTGAGTCGGCTAAAATACGACTAAAACTAAAATAATTTAGATGACTAAAACGTGACTAAAAGTAAAATGGAATTGTAGACAAAAGACTATGACAAAACCTAAATTGAAGTTTGGCATCAAAACTGGTTTGGAGGTAACTGGCATAAGGTGCAGGATAGCTACAAAAAGGACATAAATAAAGATATATGGGAAAGGATGGAACTGAAGGCTAACAGAGTAGAAACAACAAGACTGGATGGTGTAAGGACCAGTGGGGTTACCATGGGCATTGTGACATACACCATCACTGAAATTTAAGATGGAACAGATGGAATAAAAAATGTATTAGACATAAAGGAATGATCTCCTAGATTGTAAGCTCTAACAAGCTGGGCCCTCTGTTTCCTCGTGTACCAAATTGTATTGTAGCTGCAATTATTATTATTATACAGTATTTATATAGCGCCAAAGGGTTTGCTCAGCGCTGTACAACAGCAAGGGGGACAGAACATGAGACAAAACAGTAACAATACAATACACGAGGGGTTCGAGGGCCCTGCTCTTTCGAGCTCACAGTCTAGGACTACCTTCATTTTGTAAAGCGCTGAGCAAACTGTTGGCGCTATATAAATCCTGTATAATAATAATGATAATAATATTGGACACAATGACCTTTTGAGAATAAAGAATGGAAAATGCAGACTAGAACAGAAACAGAGAAGCAAATTAAGATCGAACAGGGATAGACTGGCCTTTCTCAAACTTTAAAGCTCTTAGGAACCCTGGAAATTGCTGTCCGGTCTCAGGGAACCATTGCTAAAAATTACTATATCTACAACTCATGATACATTAGTGTGATGGTCAGTGGGAAGAATGCCCCTTACGCTTGTGGTCATTGGGAAGAATTATCCCTTTATAGATACCTAAAAAGATCAATAGTATCAGTGGGATCTTATGAGAGTCAGAAATTGCTCATTGCTTGAGGAACCCCTAGCAACCTCTGGAGGAACCTTAGTGTTCCATGGAACCCTGGGTGAGATACTCTAGGATAGACAACCGGGATGGGGTACACAGATGAGATCAGAATAGGGTGGGTCAAATAACATAAGGGAGAAACAGGAAAGGACAGAATAGGAAGGGACAGAGAAGAATGAAAATGGGAAAAGGAAAATAAATGACAGGAATGGGGATGGACAGAAAAGGACAATGATGGGGGATAAATAGAATAGGACAGGAATGAGGATAGACAGCATAGGACAAGCAGAACAGGGCAGGAAAAGGGACAGAATACAGATACTAAATATAATGTGGTAAAAAATGTAATTTTTAAAAGTGACATCTACAAATAATTACAAGTATTGACAGTATTTGAGGCTATGGATATGTTATACTGTATGATGTGATCTGCTGTAATTGTTGTTACCAAATTAGGGTGCACATTGATTATGGAATGTAATCTTTTTAGAAGATATATGTAACTGTAATACTCATACCTCCTCATACAACTCGGGTTTCTCCAAGCCCTACAGTACTGATTAATATGAATGATTCAGGGTAAGGACTACACCTACACAGGCACTTTGCTAACTGTTGATTTAACTCATTGTTGGCATTCATTTGTAGCACATTAAAATCAGTACTGTGAGAGTCAAATTGTCTAACGCTACCTATAATTTGTCCTGTACATGAATTGTCCCTGTAACCCCAACCCTAACCCTCTCTAATGTAAAGGTAATCCCTTGATAGTACACTCACCTCTCCTGTGATGGGGTCCTTTACACCAGGGGTCTCCAAAATAAGTTCCAAGGGCCACATCCAGCACACAGCTAGGGTCCCTAATGTGCACACATTGAGGAGTAAGGTCAGCAGAGGCTGCCTTTGGTCATTGCTTGAACCACACTGCTCTCTATGTAATGTGGGACTCTAATGGGGATCCTGATGTAAGGGGTAACTCTAATGGGGATCCTGATGGAAGGGGGGGACTCTGATGGGGATCCTGATGGAAGGGGGGACTCTGATGGGGATCCTGATGTAAGGGGTAACTCTAATGGGGATCCTGATGGAAGGGGGGACTCTGATGGGGATCCTGATGGAAGGGGGGACTCTGATGGGGATCCTGATGTAAGGGGTAACTCTAATGGGGATCCTGATGGAAGGGGGGACTCTGATGGGGATCCTGATGGAAGGGGGGACTCTGATGAGGATCCTGATGGAAGGGGGGTACTAACAGAGATTTTTTCAGCCCAGGGATATTTGTAAAATACACAATGTGGCCCTCGTACTGAAAAGTTTGCAGACCCCTGCTTTACATCAAAGATTAACACCCAGCAGCAAACAATACTAGTACTGGAATTCTGGTATGGGAATCTTTCATTTCCTCCTGCTTGTCTCCTATTGGCAAAATAATTGTAATTCAAATTCTGTGCATTTATGTGTATCTCAGAATATGTTTTTATTTCATATCCAATAGCAATGTGTGTTGTACAAAGATTTATTTTTTTTAAATGTGAAAATTGTAATGTTTATACGTCCCATAAGCTAGATTATATCTGTAACTGTTAGGCCTCTTTCATGCAGGACAGGCTCCATGTTGATCAGCAAGGGATCTGTTCACTAATCCCCTGCTGAACAGAGCAGAGTGGGTAGATCACAGTGTCCACTCAGTTTCTGCAGAGTGGACACAGCTCTGCTCTATGGGTGGCCTGGAATAAATGGTCTCAGCTGTTCGTGTACACCCGACTTCCCTCTGATCTGTTCTGCCTAAACAGAGGGGGATGGATCTACTTTTGTTTGTTTTTTAGCGGACCAGATCAGATTGGACGTAGGTGGGTATAAACAGACACAAGACCGTTTACACCCGCCGATCCATAGGCGTGATTGGAGGGTCTGACCAGGTCCGCCAGAAAAACTGACAGGCAGACCTGATTGGACCCTTTGTGTGAATAAAGAACCTTACTGTATGTATCATACCTTCTGGAGCTTCACAAATCTCAGGAACCAGTTGAGAGAATGCAGCTGTTTTGTAATGTTTATCTTTAATTGTATGCAGAAGCTTCATGCCAAAGTTTCTTAAAGCGGAACTCAAAGCAAAAAATAAAAAAAGACACCAAGCCCAATTACGTAGTTCTTAAAAAAAATTTTTTAATCTTGGCTAGTATAACAACCAGAAGTCAGTATTATATTATCTTCCTATGATTAGTACTTTGAACCAATAGGGGCTTTATTGTGTTGCACAGTGATTTCAATTCAATGCGTTTAGATACTAGAAGATGAAGGGGGAGTTGTTCAGGGAGGATCTCTTCAATGTGACCTCTAATGAACAGGAAACTGAAAAGGTGTGTGGATCACAAGACTGACTGGATAGAATTTCAAAGTAGTTCTGCTTTAAAGTAAGCGTTGGCTTTTAGATTAAATGAACTTCCCTTGAGGAGTTATTCCACACAATATAGATTTTTTTTGTTAGATGCCTTTTTCTAAAGCCACCTAACAGTCCTTTATTCATTTTGGAAACTCCTGTAGCAAGATATCTACACTTTGAGTTTCCTGCCTCCTACCGTGAATGATAATGGGTCCCACTCCTCCTTTTACATTTTTGGTTTCTTTTGTATGGTAATGTAATTAAAAGGATGAGTAGAAGCATATAAGGTGGACAAGATCACTCACAACCTGGATTGGTAGGTGTGATCAGATCAAAAACTCCTTCAAGGCTATCATTTTTAGGTGGGGTGACTAGTTGAGTCTCTTCACCCCCATATCTGTACTGCACTTTCAAAGCAGACCATAGACATGTGTTGGCTGTTTTGCATTGCACATTAGACTGCAAGATTGTGTACTGGTAAAGTGTACGTGTTCACTGTATACTCAGATGGCCTATGTTAAAGCGAAGTTCCACCCTCTTTTTTAATGTCCCTCTGTTAATACTGTTCCTGTGGTGTCCAGCATTATTAGGATAATCATATATTTTTTCTTAATATTGTAAATACTTTTAAATTATGTGCAAAGACTGCACTTCTAGTCCCGGACGCCTAGGCGATGACGTATGAAGGTGATTCGCAAAGTCTCCTGGGATGTTGGGTCTTGTATCCCAGGAGTCCTTTGGGATCCTAGTCAGGGGAGTATTTACCACAAGGCAAACAAGGCATTTGCCTTGGGCGGCATTTTTCAGGGGGCAGCACTGAAAAATGCCCCCTGAAATGTATTGTAAATACTTTTAAATTATGTGCAAAGACTGCACTTCTGGTCCCGGCCGCCTAGGCGATGACGTATGAAGGAGATTCGCAAAGTCTCCTGGGATGTCGGCTCTTGTATCCCAGGAGTCCTTTGGGTTCCTAGTCAGGGGAGTATTTACCACAAGGCAAACAAGGCATTTGCCTTGGGTGGCATTTTTCAGGGGGGCTGCACTGCCCCCCCAGAAGAATGGGCACATGCACTATGGGGACCAGGTGGGATCTGAGAGAGGCTGCAGGCTTCTTGATGGTGTATGCAGATCCTGACTCTTGTTCCTAGGGATATTCAGAGCTGTGAAGGTGAGTGTCTTTCTCTCTCTCCCTGGGAAGGGGGGGTGCTGGAGGTGGTTGTATGTTAGTGGAAGGCTCTCTCGGGTGGGGGGTAAGGGTGTTTGTGGGTCAATGTCAGGCTCTCTTCACGGGGGAGGGGGGTTTGGGGGTAGGATTGGTGGTGTTGGTCGGTGCCAGGCTCTCTCCCCCGGGGTGGGGGGCTTCGATTTTTTTTGTTGCCTAGGGCAGCACAAAACCAAAATACATGACTGTTCCTAGTTGCTGATTTATTTATTTATGTTATTGATCCCCACATCCTGATGTTATTTGGACTCGTTTTCCCTCATCCTCATAGATCATAGTCATATCTGTATTGGTTTTTTCTTTTTTTTTTTTGTATACCCATTTCCTTGTCTCTGTTCTCATTATTTACTTGCTATATACTGTTTATTTTGACACAAAATTTAATAAAGACAAATTTGCCTTTAAATACTTATTCATAAACTCATGAAAAAAATTAAAGTGCCCCGATCATGGACGGGTTGTACCCTAATGCCTTTGTCCAACATTTTTATAAAAGTGTTGCCAACCATTAAAAGTTTGACTTTTATTATCTAACTGGTAAAAGAAGAAAGAAAGAAAGCTGAAGTGTGATAGTTTCAGTTAACTCGATCCTCGTAGTTGTGTCTTGTTCCTCATAGTTGTTCTCATGTCTATCAGCGGTCTTCATTTTCCAAGTATACTTTAGATTTTATGTCTCAATAAAGGGGTTTAAAAAAGACTTTCCATTCTCAACAAGAAAGTAGGTGATCACTTTTGATCATGTTGTTCAACAGTTATGCCAGCCTTCTAGACCATGGAGTAATCATTTGCATTCATGTTTGAGTGATAAACAATGTGCAGCTCCTGAAAATAAATTGAGCTGTGATGAAAAGACCACTAAGGCTAGCCATACATCAGGGGCGGACTGACCATTTGGAAACTCGTGCACTGCCCGAGGGCCCGGGGTCAGTAGGGGGCCCTATGAGATGCCCCTGGTACCTTTTTCATAGGCTTTAATGAGTTTGGGCAAGGACACAGGGGCCCCATGATCCCCTATTGCCCTAGGGCCCCATGAGTTGTCATCCTGCCCCTGCCAGACATGTATCGGTTTCTGACAGATTCCTTCTTCCACACTAAACAGCATGGATGTAGGCATCTGCCCTGACAGCTGTTGCATTCTGACAGCCGGCACCAGCGGCTGTCTAAATATCTGACTGCATATGATTGGATGAAGACACTGTTCAACCAACAATTTTGTAACTGATTTCTAGAAAACTAGAACACAAAATACTTTATTTTTAGAGTTCATTTCCAGTATCTTGTGTAGTAGTTAATTGGAATGTGGTGCCATGTAAATTGCCCACATACTATTCCAAGAATGCACTTCCAGGAAAATAGACTTTTCTCAAGCTAGGAGGTTCTGCCACCCAATTTTGACAAATTGTACATTTATACAAAACCCCATGATCAAATTGTAGTGTTTCAGGTAGCAACGGGTAGGTTTGGGGAGATTTGTGCCTTTTCAATAACTGTTTTATTCTATTTTACATGTAAAAAAAAGTACATATACTGTATGAAGCCGTCTGTCAGTAGCATTAGCACAACAGTTGTTTTTCTCCTTTAACAGCTTTATTTTCTGCTTATCCTGCCAGTAGATCTGTTACTTTTTCATTTTCTTGAACAGGGTGACAACGCTGTTTGTTCAGCAAAGAAATCACACAACAGGGTTGTTTTAAATCCACATTTAGTTTAAAATGGACTTTAAGCGAGAGGAAATACAAATTATAGCCCTGCTTAGTTGACAATAACAGACAGTAACAGTTTTTCTTTTCTTTTGGAAAAAATATTTACACATATCAATTAAAGCTGCCAGGCATCTTGGCCAATGGAAAATAATTTTTTTTTGGCAGGATCAATCAGTAATACAACTATGTTTCAAAGGGCCTTTTAAAAGAAAAAACAAAAACTGCTGTGTTAATGCTAGTGATAGACTGCATCATTCATATTTTTTATTTTGACCACCGTTCCACTTTAAGATATTTGATAAGATAATACCTGGCTGTAAATATTGTTTTGAAATGTTTTATTTAAAGGCTTTTGCAATAAAATTCTTTTTTTCTTAAAAAAAAAAGTGTGTATGTGATAATTATTATTATTATACAGTATTTATATAGCGCCAAAAGATTTGCTCAGCGCTGTACATTATAGTGGGGGACAGAACATGAGACAATACAGTAACAAAACAATACACGAGGAGTTCGAGGGCCCTGCTCTTTCGAGCTTACAATCTAGGGGGGAGGGGATAGTGGTACAGGAGGAAGTGGCTGTGGGGGATAGAGTGGTAGGAGGAGTGGAGGAGATCGGCTGTTAGGTGAGGGTGGGGTAGGCTTCCCTGAAGAGATGGGTTTTCAGGGTTCGCCTAAAGGTGAGGAGGGAAGGTGACAGTCTGATGGATTGGGGTAGTGAGTTCCAGAGGATGGGGGAAGTCCTGGAGAAGTCCTGCAGTCGGGGCGTGGGAGGTGGAGATCAGGGAGCTAGAAAGTAGGAGGTCTTGTGAGGAGCGAAGATTACGGGTAGGGTGGTATTTGGGTATCAGGTCGGATACCCAATGAATGCATAATGGTCTACATGTTGCACTAAAAATTTTCTTACTTAACCCAGGACCCTGCATTCACTATATCCGGTCTCCCCAGGACCCTGCATTCACTATATCTGGTCTCCCCGGACCCTGCATTCACTATATCTGGTCTCCCCGGACCCTGCATTCACTATATCCGGTCTCCCCGGACCCTGCATTCACTATATCTGGTCTCCCCGGACCCTGCATTCACTATATCTGGTCTCCCCGGACCCTGCATTCACTATATCCGGTCTCCCCGGACCCTGCATTCACTATATCTGGTCTCCCCGGACCCTGAATTCACTATATCTGGTCTCCCAGGACCCTGCATTCACTATATCTGGTCTCCCACAGTACACAGAACATGGAAATGCAATTATTTTGGTAAATATAAACTGCTAAATACCTTTTCTCATTATCAGTATATAGCAGTCTTGTGACTTCTATCAGCAGAGTATTGGTTAAAGCTTGTAGGAGAAGTTTTCTTTCTGCTCCAGGAGGATGCAGAACCCCTAACCTCTGTCTGGACAGTGCTGTTTGGCCCTGTACTGATCACATGCACTCTCCCAAGAAAAAAAAAAAAAACCTCTCTAGCAATACACACCAAACTGAGCATGTGCAGAGTGTCTCCATACAATATGCCCTATCAGGAGATAAGAGGGGGACACTGGAAGAACAGGAGGATCAGAGACATCTGGATCAAACAGCATTTGTACACAATGCAGAGGATTAACCCCTTAGGTTCCACAGCGAGTATGACAAGCATGCTTTACTGCATATACAGACTGATTTTACTGTTGTGGGTTTAGTAACACTTCAAAGTAAAATGTTCTCTTTTCTCACTACAACCACATTCCAGTTAATGTTTTCCTAATGCAGTGTTAAGAAAGAAAAATAAGACTCTAATGGCTTCCAATGGGCAAGATTAAAGGAGAAGTACAGCCAAAGCATGTTTGACTGTACTTCTCCTGTGGATCACAGGAGTAAAGTTTGTTCTGCACTCCTATGACCCGCTTCAAGCCGACAGCAGGCTACAGTCCGCTGTCGGCTGACGTCACTCAGCCGGTCCAGGCTGGGGAATGATCCTGACTTTAAAGTCAGGATCCACCCAGATGTCTGGACCGGCACCTGGTTCAGCCTCGCAGTGAGCCGCTGAGATCCTGAGCCAGCCGCTCCCTCCCCCTCCACAGCCCAGCACTCCAGTGAGCCCTAGAGGGGCAGAGCAGACAGCGATGACTGACAGTCACTGCTCTCTGCTCAGAGCGGCAGGGAGAACTGAGTGATCAGCAGTGTCTGATCACTCAGTTCTCCCCCTTAGAGCCTGCAGGGCATCAGATCGATGCTGCATCCACCGGGGTAAGTATGATTTAAAAACAACCTCGTACTTCTCTTTTAAATATTTACATATGCCAGGTGTGGTTATTTGGAAAAAAACAGGACGATTTTACACATTTTAAATTGGCAATTTTTAAGATCATCGCACAGGAACCTTTTTGTTCTGGAAAAAAAAACATGCCTACTAAGATCAGTAAAATTGTTTTGCCCTTGTGAATGTATTCCTGATAACAAAGACATGTTGTTGCCCACAGTAGCCAATCAGATTTTACTGGAATAAATAGACTCCTCTACGTACATCATGTGAAGTGATTGGTAAGGAATGCTCTAGTCCTCGGCAGTTTCTCTATCATTCTCCCATGTAATAATGGATTATACAATATTTTTGTCACATTTATAAGACTAGGCTGCAGAATCATCAGCTTTTGCAAATGGGAAACATGGAGTAACTGCACATGTATCAAGGCTCCATGCACACTAGCATTTTTTTCTGCTCGTAGAAGCTAAATAGTGTTCTCCTTTGTGTCCATGCACACTACTTTAAGCTGTTAGCATTTTTTGAGTTTCAGCTTCTAGGAGCAGAAAAAAAAATTGTTTTTGCAGAGTTTTTGGAGTATTTTTCCAGCAGAAAAAAAATGCTAAACGCTCCTAAAAGCTTTTTTCTAGCTTTTCTCTTTTTTTATGTACCGTAAAATTGCAAATAAAATGCTGACACTCCTAAAGCTACTAAAATGCTACTAAAAAAACACTATTACCAGCATTTTTTTAGCTTAAGAAAAACGCTAGTATGCATGGAGCTTAAAGTGGAGTTCCACTCGACCTATCAAAAAATAAAAGTCAGCAGCTACAAAAGCTGTAGCTGCTAACTTTTAAAAAACAGCCACTTACCTGTCCCTCTGTCCCATGGTGTGTGTCCCGCAGCTTGTTTTACCGGCTGTCCTGTATTCCAGGAGGCCGGCATCTTTAGTGTGGGCACCCGGCTGTGATAGCTTGCGGCTTCATAGCCAGGTACCCACTACGCATGCGCGAGTAGTGCTGCGCTTCATGAATGGTCCTGTAGTCTTTTGGAACCTGCCACGTGTCGCAAAAGACTACAGGGAGGGAAGGAGGGAGGATACCTTCTGCTTTTGATCCCCTAGGCGATCGGACTGGAAGTGGGAGCGGGTACCTGTCAAATTCGGGTACCTGCTCCCCAAAGGTGCCAATCCTTAATGGGGAGCGGGAGAGCAGTCCTTAAAGCAGAACTTCCCCTTTTGGGTGGTGCTCCGCTTTAAATGCTGTAACTATGTGATCACTACATCGGGCAGGAATGGTGGAATGGTGGAGTGCATGTTGTATGAATGCCCATCCACACTACTACTCATGAACATTATTGCAACATACAGCAGTGCACATTGCGTCTGTATCTTTCCTTGAAAAGTTGAGTTTAGCTCCCAAGAACCCCATTGGTCCCTTAAAAGACATAAGAGACAATGTCTAGTCTTAGGAGGCAAGAGGGGCTGACGAAGTAACTACAAACAGAAAAATAGTAACTTTATCTAGCTGAAGAAGGACAGAGAACAAGAAAGTTATCTCATGTTCACAGGACATTTGTTACATTGTAATGTGTTCACCGTCTGTCCAAGAATGGGAGTGACATGTAGCGTATAGTTGGAAAGCAACATTGTATTTCCTTAACCCCCCTGGCGGTATTCCCGAGTGTAGCTCGGGGTAAAATTTGAGTACCAAAAGCGGTAACCCCGAGCTACACTCGGGCTTACCATGCGGCGTTGCTCAGGGGGTCCCTGCAGCACTTACCTTGTCCTTCGCTCCCGTGATGTGTCCCCTGCAGCGTCCCCGGCCATCTCCTCCGGCCGATGCCGGCATCTGGCTTCCGTGTTGTGGTCCCTGTGACGTCGGGACGTACAGGTGCTGGAACCGGCGGCAAATTTGAAATTTTTAAAAAATTTCATTTTTTTAAAAATGATTATTACTAGTAGAGATGAGCGAATCGAACTTGGCGAAGTAGAATTCGTTTCGAATATTAGGAAAAATTCGATTCGCACCGAATCCGAAAATTAGCAAACTTCGGATGCACGAATCGAATTTTTCCCGATCGGCCGATTTTCATCCCTTCTACAGCCGGCAAAAAGTGTCCCTGCAGAGAGCTCCGCTATTTCTGACAGTTCTCTGACAGTTCCTTCACATTTACAGCGGTTGAAACATTGTAACTATTTGTTTCCATTTAGGATACAGATGTTTTTATTCAGAAACAAATAGATACAATGTTTCAACCGCTGTAAATGTGAAGGAACGGTCAGAAATAGCGGAGCTCTCTGCAGATACACTTTTTGCTGTACTGGAATTCTTCTTATTTTCATCCTACTTCTTCTTCTTCTTCTTCTTCATCCTCATCCTCATCATCTTCTTCTTCTTCATCCTCATCCTCTTCTTCTTCTTCATCCTCATCCTCTTCCTCTTCTTCTTCTTCTTCTTCTTCATCCTCATCCTCTTCTTCATCCTCATTCTCTTCTTCTTCTTCTTCTTCTTCATCCTCATCTTCTTCTTCTTCTTCATCCTCATCTTCTTCTTCTTCTTCATCCTCATCTTCTTCTTCTTCTTCTTCATCCTCATCTTCTTCTTCTTCTTCATCATCATCCTCATCCTCTTCTTCTTCTTCCTCATCCTCATCTTCTTCTTCTTCTTCTTCTTCTTCTTCTTCTTCTTCTTCATCTCTCTTCTTCATCTTCTTCTTCTTCATCTTCTTCTTCATCATCTTCTTCTTCATCATCTTCTTCTTCATCATCTTCTTCATCATCATCTTCTTCATCATCTTCTTCTTCTTCTTCTTCTTCTTCTTCTTCTTCTTCATCCTCATCTTCTTCTTCTTCTTCTTCTTCCTCATCCTCATCCTCTTCTTCTTCTTCCTCATCCTCTTCTTCTTCTTCATCTTCTTCTTCTTCATCTTCTTCTTCTTCATCTTCTTCTTCTTCATCTTCTTCTTCTCCTTCTTCTTCTTCATCCTCATCTTCTTCTTCTTCTTCATCCTCATCTTCTTCTTCTTCATCCTCATCTTCTTCTTCTTCCTCTTCATCCTCATCCTCTTCTTCTTCTTCCTCATCTTCTTCTTCTTCTTCTTCATCTTCTTCTTCAGAAATAGCGGAGCTCTCTGCAGATACACTTTTTGCTGTACTGGAATTCTTCTTATTTTCATCCTACTTCTTCTTCTTTCTTCTTCTTCTTCTTCTTCATCCTCATCCTCATCCTCTTCTTCTTCTTCATCCTCTTCTTCTTCATCCTCATCCTCTTCCTCTTCTTCTTCTTCTCCTTCATCCTCATCCTCTTCTTCATCCTCATTCTCTTCTTCTTCTTCTTCTTCTTCTTCATCCTCATCTTCTTCTTCTTCTTCATCCTCATCTTCTTCTTCTTCTTCTTCATCCTCATCTTCTTCTTCTTCATCCTCATCCTCTTCTTCTTCTTCCTCATCCTCATCTTCTTCTTCTTCTTCTTCTTCTTCATCTTCTTCTTCTTCTTCATCTTCTTCTTCTTCATCTTCTTCTTCTTCTTCTTCTTCTTCATCTTCCTCTTCTTCTTCATCATCTTCTTCTTCATCATCTTCTTCATCATCATCTTCTTCTTCTTCTTCATCCTCATCTTCTTCTTCTTCTTCTTCCTCATCCTCATCCTCTTCTTCTTCTTCCTCATCCTCTTCTTCTTCTTCTTCTTCTTCATCTTCTTCTTCATCTTCTTCTTCTTCTTCTTCTTCTTCATCTTCTTCTTCTTCATCTTCTTCTTCTCCTTCTTCTTCTTCTTCATCCTCATCTTCTCCTTCTTCTTCTTCTTCATCCTCATCTTCTTCTTCTTCTTCATCCTCATCTTCTTCTTCTTCTTCCTCTTCATCCTCATCCTCTTCTTCTTCTTCCTCATCTTCTTCTTCTTCATCTTCTTCTTCATCATCTTCTTCTTCATCATCTTCTTCTTCATCATCTTCTTCATCTTCTTCTTCTTCTTCTTCATCTTCTTCTTCATCTTCTTCATCTTCTTCTTCTTCTTCTTCATCTTCTTCTTCTTCTTCTTCATCTTCTTCTTCTTCTTCATCTTCTTCTTCTTCTTCATGTTCTTCTTCATCTTCTTCTTCATCTTCTTCTTCGTCGTGCCCCGTGACTGCCCAAATGAGTGAAGTGTGCGGTGATTCTAAGATCGACAGCACTCATCTGCATGTCATACTGACTGACAGTATTATTTCTCTTCCCCAGCAGACTCCAAGGGCATTTAAATTAAAGGTACAGTGTTCTGCACTAATATAAAGGCTCTATGAAGCCTAGAAACACCCTTTTAATAAGTTAAATTCGCAGCGAATAAATTTGCATCGAATCGAATTTATTCCGCAAATTCGGCGAATCAGCCGAATCGAATTTTTGAATAATTCGCTCATCTCTAATTACTAGAGATGAGCGAATCGAACATGGCGAAGTGGAATTCGTTTCGAAGATTAGGAAAAATTCGATTCGCGCGAATCCGAAAATTAGCAAACTTCGGATGCACGAATCGAATTTTCCCAAAAATGGCGGCGACATGTGTGGCGACGGAACGGGGATCTCTGGGAAGGCGCGCAGACAAGGCGCCCTGACCCATAATGCATTTATTCATGACATGTGATCACATTAGCCAATCAGCAGCCAGCCAGCCAGCACTGTGTAATGGTGGAGCTATAAATCGCGGCCATCTTAGAATTCTCCATTAGCCTCCGGTCATTCAAGAGAGACAGACCTGTCTGTATTAGGGACAGAGTTAGGGCCACAGAGACTTTAGGGCCACAGAATCGTTACTCAGGGACACAGAATCGTTACTCAGGGACACAGAATCGTTACTCAGGGACACAGAATTGTTACTCAGGGACACAGAATTGTTACTCAGGGACACAGAATCGTTACTCAGGGACAGACACAGAATTGTTACTCAGGGACACAGAATTGTTACTCAGGGACACAGAATCGTTACTCAGGGACACAGAATTGTTACTCAGGGACACAGAATCGTTACTCAGGGACACAGAATTGTTACTGAGGGACACAGAATCGTTACTCAGGGACACAGAATCGTTACTCAGGGACACAGAATTGTTACTCAGGGACACAGAATTGTTACTGAGGGACACAGAATCGTTACTGAGGGACACAGAATTGTTACTCAGGGACACAGAATTGTTACTCAGGGACACAGAATCGTTACTCAGGGACACAGAATCGTTACTCAGGGACACAGAATTGTTACTCAGGGACACAGAATCGTTACTCAGGGACAGACACAGAATTGTTACTCAGGGACACAGAATTGTTACTCAGGGACACAGAATCGTTACTCAGGGACACAGAATCGTTACTCAGGGACACAGAATCGTTACTGAGCGACACAGAATCGTTACTCAGGGACACAGAATCGTTACTCAGGGACACAGAATTGTTACTCAGGGACACAGAATTGTTACTCGGGGACAGACACAGAATTGTTACTCAGGGACACAGAATTGTTACTCAGGGACACAGAATCGTTACTCAGGGACACAGAATTGTTACTCAGGGACACATAATCGTTACTCAGGGACACAGAATTGTTACTCAGGGACACAGAATCGTTACTCAGGGACACAGAATTGTTACTCAGGGACACAGAATTGTTACTCAGGGACACAGAATCGTTACTGAGGGACACAGAATCGTTACTCAGGGACGCAGAATCGTTACTCAGGGACGCAGAATCGTTACTCGGGGACACAGAATCGTTACTCGGGGACACAGAATCGTTACTCGGGGACACAGAATTGTTACTCAGGGACACAGAATCGTTACTTTTCTGCTTCACAACCACTATTGAATTAAAGAGTATGTCAGACAACACGCAGAGTAGTGGCAGAGGAGGCAATGTTTCAGGAGCGAGCAGACGTGGCAGCAGAGGAAGGGGTCGAGGCAGCACTATTCGCAGCCAGAGGCCAGTGCTCCCGGTGTCATCCAGCGGTCGTGTCTCCACCGACAACCCTGCCGTCATCGATTGGTTGACTCGGTCGTCTTCCTCTTCCCAGGTCACCTCTGACACCTACAGCCAACGGTCGGTGGGTACGTCAGACACAACCGTTAGTTGGCATGGCCCGGGAGCAAGCCCACTGAAATCACGTGTCCTCTACCTGCCCCTGTCCTTTGGTGTTCCCTCACCAAGCGAAGTATCGCATGCTGTGGGCTCAGCCCCACTGTACAGTGAGGAAGAGCTAACAGAGTGCGGTCAGGAACGGGGGGAGACATCCGCCTCTTCAGCAGCCAGGCGAAGAAGTACTGGCGAGGAGAGTGGCTCGGTAGCCGGTCTAGAGACAGGTCTGTCTCCTGACCCACACGCAGCCGAGGGGGCTAGTAGTGACGCGGAGACCCTAATTGATGATGATGAGGCTGATTGCACTTGGCAGCCTCGTCGTCATCAGGCTATTCCTTCCGCATCATCAGGAGAAGAGGGTGCCAGCTTGCCAGCGAGCAAAACAGTCGGTGGGTTGCCCAGGAGGCAGCAGGGTCGCAGCAGTGTCAGTGGAGGCAAACGGCCACAGAGTAGAGCACCAGCTCCACTGCAGCCACCACCCACGGCCAGTAGTGGTGCCGGTGTGCACGGAGGAAGTAGCAGTCAGCCAGTGAGGAGTAGCGGGGGCAAAGTTTCCTACTCGGCGGTGTGGCAATTTTTCGTCAAGCCGCCCGAGGAAGTAAACGTAGCCGTATGTCGACTATGTGGCCAGAAAGTCAAGCGTGGCCAGGGGGCCCATGTTGGGACTACAGCGTTGCGTCAGCATATGCAGCGTCGCCATTCGGTGGCCTGGGAAAACCGTGATAAAGATACGGCGGTTCTGCCTGCCCCAGCCCCCGCTCCATCACCCGCTCCGTTACTTGCTCCGTCACCCGACGTCAATCGCCCTCTATCAGCCAGTCAAGGCTCCAACACCTCTGCTGAGGGGAGTTGTCGCTCGTTGGCATCTTCCGCTCGTTCAGATGCTCCTTCTCCTGCTACTCCTCTTCACGGATTCCGTCAGCAGTCTTTCTTGGAATCCGTTTCCAAGAGACAACAGTTTGCGAGCACGCACCCGACGGTGCAAAAGCTGAACGTCCTCCTGTCCAAGTTGCTGGTGCTGCAGTCCCTCCCTTTCCAAGTGGTGGACTCAGCACCTTTCCGAGAAAATGATGGCTTGTGCCGAGCCGCGGTGGAGAGTGCCAAGCCGGCATTTCTTCGCCAAAAAGGCAGTGCCAGCCCTGCATTCACATGTAGAAGAGATGGTGGGCCAGTCTTTGAGCATGTCGGTCTCTGCCAAAGTGCACGGCAGCGCCGACGTGTGGAGCTGTAACTACGGTCAGGGACAGTACATGTCATTTACGGCCCACTGGGTGAACGTGGTGCCGGCACAGCCGCACCAGCAACTTGGACAGGTCACGCGCTTTTGCCTCCACGTTTGCATGTCCTTGGTCCAGCAAAGATGTCCGCCTCTACCACCTCTTCTTCCGCCGTGTCCTCAGCCGCACCCCCGTGCCAAGTCCCATTACCCCGACCGGCATATCACATGTGCAGGGCGCAACGGTGTCACGCTGTGCTGCACCTGGTATGCCTTGGCGAACGTAGTCACACAGGGGAGCAACTTCTGAGTGTAATGAACAGAGAAATCGACAGATGGCTGTCTCCGCGCAAACTGAAAATCGGAACCATGTTGACCGACAACGGAAAGAACATGGTGTCTGCTCTGCGTCAAGGAAGGTTGTGCCATGCGCCATGCATGGCTCACGTGTTCAATCTGGTTGTCAAGCGGTTCCTAAAATCCACCATCCCACTGCAAGACATCCTTAAAATGTCACGTAAACTTTGCATGCATTTCAGCCATTCCTACACCGCAAAGCACACCCTCCTTGAGCTGCAGCGGCAGAACGGAATTCCACAGCATCGCCTGATCTGCGACATGCAACAAGGTGGAATTCAACCCTACATATGTTAGACCGCCTTTACGAACAGCAAAAGGCCATCACCGATTTCCTGATGTTACAAGCGGATAAAGGTACTCCCCTGTGTAACTTAGATGTCAGCCATTGGCAGCTCATGCGTGACACCTGCCGCTTGCTCAGGCCCTTTGAGGAGGCCACGCTATTCGTGAGTCGGCAGGACTATGGGATGAACGACGTCATTCCTCTGTTGCACGTCCTGGAACAAATGCTGTTAACAATGGCTGGTCAGGGTGCGGTAGACGTGGCGCACAGATCTCAATGCCACATGACCCCTGTGGGGGCAGGACAGGAAGAAGAGGAGGAGGTAGAGGAGGACATTGGTGCTCAGGAATTATTGAGTGAAATGGGTGGTTTTTCCCACTCAGCGGACAGGAGTGGAGGAGCAGGAGCATCTGGTAGAGGAGGAGGAGGAGGAGACAGAGGACCCAGATGCACCGTGGCAGTATGCTGTGGAGATGGAGGCAGGGAGTCCCTCGCATTCCTTGGCACAAATGGCCCATAGCATGCTCGGTTGCTTGCGTAGCGACAGCCGAATAATAACCATCAGACAGAGGGATGACTTTTGGCTGTCCACCTTGTTGGACCCTCGCTACCGTTCAAAAATGGTGGCCTTTTTCACACCTGCTGAGAGGGAGGCCAAAATAAAGTACTATAAAAACCACCTATGTAGTCAGTTGGTCTCTGCCTTTCTGCGCCAACGTCCATCCTCAGACACTGTGGGCCCTGTGCGCTCGCGTTCCGCTGCCATGGCAGCAGGGGAGGGGTGGGGTGGTAGGAGCAGTGGCAGCTCCACCAGCAGCGGCTGCCTCAGTCTGCAGTCGATGATGAGTAGCTTTCTTCACCAGCGCAGTGAGGAAACTACTAACCAGCCGCAGCAGCAGCAGCATCAGGTGGACCTGGAGCAGGAGCTCAAACAACAGGCTTGGGCCTACTTGGACAGCACCCTGCCAACCGAGGTAGACAATCCCCTTGACTACTGGGCAACGAACTTGACCTTTGGCCCCAACTAGCTGAATTTGCCCTTGAAAGGCTGTCATGCCCGGCCAGTAGCGTGGCATCGGAGCGCGTGTTTAGTGCGGCAGGAGGTATTGTAACTCCGCGGAGGACACGACTGTCCACCCAAAGTGTGGAGAGACTCACGTTTGTGAAAATGAATCAGGCGTGGATTAGTCTGGATTTCAAACCACCAGTTCCTGACACAACTGACTAAATCCGCCATGAATCATGCCCCCAACATGTTATTATTTTTAACATAGGCCTCTGTATGGCCTTCAATTTAAGCTGCTTACGCTTCGCCACTCTGCCATGGGCCCTGTACCGCCTCCTCTTGCTGCTGCCAGGTCCAGAGTGTGTCATGGGTCCCTGTACGGCCTCCCATTGCTGCTGACTTCATCGCCAGACTCTGCCATGTGCCACTTTCAGGTCTCCTTACACTGTTGGTGGGTTCCATTTTGTGATAGGGTGCTGTATGGCCTTCCATTGCTGCTGCCTCCACCGCCACCCTGCGCCATGTGCCTCTGTCGTCTGCTCACGCTGCTGACGGCTTCCGCTTTTTAACCGAGGCCTGTGTTTGGCTTCCGAATACTGCTGCATCCACCGCCACCCTGCGCCATGTGTCTCTGTCGTCTGCTCACGCTGCTGACGGCTTCCGCTTTTTAACCGAGGCCTGTGTATGGCTTCAGAATAATGCTGCCTACACCGCCACCCTGCGCCATGTGCCTCTGTCGTCTGCTCACGCTGCTGCCAGGTCCATACTGATTCATGGCCCCCTGTACCGGCTCCTCATGAACGTGGTTCAGCGGGTTTGCATCATTTAACGGCAAATCGTTGACAAACGCTGGGACGTTCAGTGTTGTGCGCATTAAGCCAGACACCAAAGGGCAGCACAGACCTGTTATTACTCGCTCAAGCATGGCTGAACAAAACCAGTCTCTACCACAAATTGGACCCAGACCTGCCCAGGGTCTCGTAAGTAGATTGCACGGAGGAGTAGAGTTCGTTATTGGAATTAACTGTGAGGAACTTTTAAACCTAGGCCTGTGTATGGCCTTCAATTGATGCTGCTTCTGCTCCGCCACTCTGCCATTGGACTCTTGATAGTCGACGACTATGAAGTCAGCAGCAATGGGAGGCCGTACCGCCTCCTCATGCTGCTGCCAGGTCCAGAGTGTGTCATGGTCCCTGTACGGCCTCCCATTGCTGCTGTCTCCATCGCCACACTCTGCCATGTGCCACTTTCAGGTCTCCTCACACTGCTGGTGGGTTCCATTTTGTCATAGGGTGCTGTATGGCCTCCCATTGCTGCTGCCTCCACCGCCACACTGTGGCTCCACACTCTGGTTTTGGCCCCGTGGCTGCCCAAATGAGTGAAGTGTGCGGTGATTCTAAGATCGACGGCACTCATCTGCATGTCATACTGACTGACAGTATTAGTTCTCTTCCCCAGCAGACTCCAAGGGCATTTAAATTAAAGGTACAGTGTTCTGCACTAATATAAAGGCTCTCTGAAGCCTAGAAACACCCTTTTTATAAGTTAAATTCGCAGCGAATATATTCGCCTCGAATCGAATTTATTCCGCGAATTCGGCGAATCAGCCGAATCGAATTTTTGAATAATTCGCTCATCTCTAATTATTACATAGTAAAACATTGCTGTTTCAATGCATTTCACATACATTTTGTCCCTACTGCTTTCTCCTGTGCCCTGCCTGCATTTTGACTGTTCTTTCTGCCTGGAAACTTAGAAAAGTCCATGGCGTCCAAAAAGCGTCCCTTTACGTCAAAAGTGGTTTTAGACCGGCTAGAGAACAGCGATAGTAAATCAGAACCACTTGCAGAATTGAGTGATAATGATTCGTGGAGAAATACGTCATCAGACACTGAAAACGATTTTGCGACTTGGCTCAGCGATGTGCGAATTTGCCTCTGTATTTCAAATTTCAGTTTTTTTGGTTTGATTATATTACTGAATTAAATTTATTATTATATTATTATTTTTTATGATTATTTATTAAATTATAATTTATGATTTCGTGTTTCAAATTTTATCATACCCGGGATGTTTACTAGACTCTTGTTCGTACAGATTTCAGTGAGTTATTCCTAAAAATTACAGCCTACAATAAAAAACTACATATATCCATGCAAAAAAAATGGCACCGCTTTCAGCACAAAAAATCGGAAATAATCATACCGCCGAGGAGGTTAAGTAAACATCGGCAGAGAAGATTAGAATGTATTAGAATCACGGCCCCAAAAAGATGGCTGCGCACATGTTAACTACAATAAAATAGAGGACAGCCAGTATATAAAGACTGAATGGAGAAGTGAATCCAAATCACAACCCCCTGATCAAGCCGCGTGACCAGCGGCGTAACGCGTAGGGGAGGGGCTACGATGTCACTGGCCATTTGAGGATGACAGGTCTACACAAGGCAGGCAGTGTTTGGCATGCTGTTGATGTATTGTTGGTGATATAAAAGCGGTTTTTACACTATTTATATTTGAGTGCAACTGGTACTTAAATAGAGCACTGTTTTTTAAAAAGATAAAGCACTATTTTTAGCAATTTTCTTTCCACTGAGGGCACCTGCCAAGGAAAGGAAAGCAGGAGGTAAGCAGTATAAGAGTAAGATCCCAGCAGGAGTAGGAGACGGGAATCAGCCTGAGAGGGACTCACCACTCTTCATATGGTGCAACAAACATCAGTCCCATTAAGTGGGCAAAAAGCGTTATTAGCCTGTTACAGGCTAATCTGGAGGTGAGCGCACATCTTATACTCATTAAGGAAGTCACCTGGAATTATTGATTTGATTTGAATCACTGGGAAAAGTCATATATATTTTTCATTGAAGACTGATTAATTTTTATATTTTTTTGTATGATGAGCACAGGATGACATTTTGATTTCACATGATTTTCTGTTTTTCACAAGTTTATTAATATTGATTTTTTTTATATATTTATTGGAAATATGTATTGATTTAATAATCAAAGAAGGAGCGCAACATATTGTTTTTATGTCCACAGGTAGCATTTTTTCTGAAACGGCTTTCTTAAGCGAATTGATTCCTCCATATATACTAAACAGCTCGGATGAAGGAAACTCCCCTGGCGGCTATTGTATTCAGCGGCTGACAGGACCCATGACTGCTGAATCCATAAACAGTGGCCACATCAGGATGGGTGCAGCCATTGTTCAGCCTATAACTTTCCAACCAGCTTCTTTGACAAAAGTCTATTGAAAACTTGAACTGGGAGGCACCAGCAGGGCAACCCGCAGCCTGAATTTTGGATGATTCAGTAGAAATTGGCTGATATTTGAACAGTGTATGGCCAACTTTACCCACCTTATATTCAAAAATAAAATAAACGAGTGCTGGGTGAATGAAAATATATTGAAAAGCTGCTTGCATAAAAGGTGAACCTCTGGGACCTCTTCATAAAATATGTAAACATAAATATATGCAGCGCTAAAAGCATCAATTAAAATATAGAAAAATAATGACAGTAAAAACAAACCAAGTGTGAACAGCGCTGAAAACAATATCTATCTCATGTATAAAACGTCAAAGGTGCATATAGTGACATGAGTGACAAAGTCAATCTATCCAATGGTAGTAATGCATGGTGAAAAATCCGTGACTCCTGTGGCTGTGAGAATGGATGTGGATTACACTAACCAGATAGCGCAATCTCTTGCGCATTGGAGTATATTAAGACCAACTCCTGGTCATCTGGATCTGGAACACTGCAGTGCAAAGGGTCATCAGGCCACCAACATCCACGTAATGCACATCAGAGGAGGGTCACCAATCTCCAGATATTCAGTCATCAGCCACCAGGGGGATTATACACGTTATTATATGCAGGTCAGCAGAAATCACCTTAACCCCCCTGGTGGTATTCCCGAGTGTAGCTCGGGGTAAAGTTTCAGTACAAAAAGCGGTAACCCCGAGCTACACTCGGGCTTATCATGTGGCGCTGCTCAGGGATCTCTTCTCCACTTACCTTGTCCTGCGCTCCCGCGATGTCCCTCCTGCAGTGTCCCCTGTAATGTCCTCCGGCGGATGCCGGCATCTGTCTTCCGGGTTCCGTTCCCTGTGAGTGTCGGGACGTACGGGGGACGGAACGGCAGGAAATTTGAAAATGACAAAAAGTGACATTCACTAAAATCACTAAAATCACATAGTAAAACATTCCTGTATCAAACCATTTCACATACATTTTGTCCCGAGTGCTTTGTCCTGTGCCCTGCCTGCATTTTGACTGTTCTTTCTGCCTGAAAACTGAGAAACGTCCATGACGTCCAAAAAGCGTCCCTTTAGGTCAAAAGCGGTTTTAGACCAGCTAGAGAACAGCGATAGTAAATCAGAACCACTTGCAGAATTGAGTGATAATGATTCGTGGGGGAAATTCGTCATCAGACACTGAAAACGATTTTGCAACTTTGCTCAGTGATGTGCGAACTTGGCGCTATATTTCACATTTCAGTGTTTTCGGTTTGATTATATTATTGAATTAAATGTATTAATATTATATTATTATTCTTTATGATTATTTATTAAATTGTAATTTCGTGTTTCAAGTTTTATCATACCCGGGATGTTTACTAGACTCTTGTTCGGACAGATTTCAGTGAGTTATTCCTAAAAATGACAAGCCTACAATAAAAAAAATACATATTTCCATGCAAAAAAAGTACCGCTTTGAGCACAGAAATATGGACATAATCAGACCGCTAGGGAGGTTAAGAGACGGGGGGCTCGCAGGAAAAACAAGCCCAAGAGGGAAGTCTCCAATAGTGAAGTAGTTTTTATAAAGTATTGGACATGAAAGACAGGTAAATAGATTTACATCTGAAAATACCAAGATGGCCGCCGGCCGTCCATGTGAGCCGTGCGGAGTGTAGTCACTACTTAGGGGCAAATCCCCTAAGGTGCCCCTGATGACTGAATATCTGGAGATTGGTTGCCCTCCTCTGATGTGCGTTACCTGGATGTTGCATACCCACCTTATATGTTTCTTTTTGTGTGAATATTATATATATAAATTTATGTATTTTTACTGAGCTACCGAGGCACCAACAGGAAAGCTCTGGTCTGTGTCCAAATAATTAAACAATTAGAATGTGAGCAGACAAAAGCAAGTTATTCAGATATGATTATAAATAAACTTCCGTTAAGCAAAATCTGTGAAGGGGAGGTCCAACGTTACAGGAAACAAAGTGAGGTTCAGAAATTCCACTTTACATACCACAAGATACAGCAGTCTGAGCTACGGGGGATCAAAGAGAGAAAGCAAAAGAGAGAAAGCAACTGCCTTGTTGCATCATCAAGGTCTTCAACATTACAGCTTGGAGCTTATTCTCTGCATCCAACCTCACCATGGGAATCTATTGGGTCCTTCTGGCTGTCATCCATGTGGCTGTCCTCATTCATACAGGTTTGTTCTAAATGTTTGTATGTATGTTAGAGTTTATTTGGATAGCTGGATATTAATATGTCATTGGGCTTTGCAATGGTGGAGCTTACAGTCTAATTTCCAAGTGCAGTCATACAGCAGGTTCATAATTTCGGTTAAAATGTAGGTCGGCTGTGAGAGGGAAGTAAAGCATCTGGAAAAGAAGTTGCATACTTACACGTGGACAACAGATTAGATAAGGTCCTTTTAATAGATGACTTCAGATGCCCAGAGTTGCCGGACCAAGCTGGCCACACACTAAGCGAATTTCATCTGGTTCCTAATGAACTGGACAAAATGTAATCAGTGAGGGGCCCTTTTGGCAAATCGAAGGAGCCAGGCAGAAAATTGTCAGCTTATGCATTCTATTTGGTGTTTAGGTGGTACCGACTGTTGGCATACAATGGCAACAATAGGAGATTCATCCATCCACCTTGTGTAGTGTGGATGGAGGAGTCTATTAGATTTCTTTCATTCAGACCACTGGCTGAACTAAAGAAATCTATGGGCATATCTGCAGCTTTAGCATGCTGCCTGGCACATCAGTAATTGTTACAAAAGAATACTAAACAAAATGACCTACTGGGGGATTAACTTTGTCTTCCACTATGTATACAGTTGATATAGATATTAAATGTACATCCAGTCCTCACATTACTCTGCTCGGCATACTTTCCAACATTCTTAAAAGTTCCTAAGAGTTCCTGAAGACCTTTCCTTGCTGAAACACATGTGGGGGCTACACTGTAAATACCCTTTTTGGGGGGAGGCTAAGATGAAGGTCTAGATTAGAGTAGGATAAGGATCAAATTTGTAAATAGCTTTCATTAGGTATTCTTCCTCATTATGTTTGTACAGGTTTATAGACTGTGCTCAGGCCATCATTTTTCTGCCACATGGGCACTGTAGGAACAATGTAATGACTCAAGCTACAGACCAAGCCTCGTGGCATCAAGTATTTGAATATATTACAAGCCTGCACAGACTTTATAAAACAAATTAGGAAATAAATACAACGTTTATTACTTCATTAGTATTAGTTTGAAAGTGATCCTGTACCGGCATAAATTTATTCAAACCAAAACAAGGGTTTTATAAAGTGCATGGTCTGACAGTCTGACCTTCACCACACTACCATGCCACCGCAATCCTACAATTATTCTATGCATGTATTATCTTTCATTATATAACTAACTAGACATGACTACTAAGCCCCCCTCCACACACAGCACAAAGCTTAAGGCTTCTTAACTGACCACTCTTAGAACGCATTGTCAGAGGCAGATGGCAGGATCACATGGGGCATATCCAGGAGAACTAGGTGTTTGGTAGGGTTTTGGTAGCAGTCTGGGGCAGTGGGAGGGTGGTGTGGTGGGGCCCCACTAGTCTTCTGTTTAAAAAGACCCTATCATCAACTTTAAAAAAATGCAGGTAAAAATCACAAAAATAAGCTATTTTAACCTCCCTGGCGGTATGATTATTTCCGATTTTTGGTGCTGAAACCGGTACCATTTTTTTTTGCATGGAAATATGTAGTTTTTTATTGTAGGCTGTAATTTTTAGGAATAGCTCACTGAAATCTGTCCGAACAAGAGTCTAGTAAACATTCCGGATATGATAAAACTTAAAACACAAAATGATAAATTATAATTTAATTAATAATCATAAAAAATAATATAATATATAATATAAATTTAATTCAATAATATAATCAAACCAAAAACACTGAAATTTGAAATACAGAGGCAAATTCACACATCGCTGAGCAAAGTCGCAAAATCATTTTCAGTGTCTGATGACGAATTTCCCCCACGAATCATTATCACTCAATTCTGCAAGTGGTTCTGATTTACTATCGCTGTTCTCTAGCCGGTCTAAAACCGCTTTTGACATAAAGGGACGTTTTTTGGACGCCATGGAGTTTTCTAAGTTTCCAGGCAGAAAGAACAGTCAAAATGCAGGCAGGGCACAGGACAAAGCAGTAGGGACAAAATGTATGTGAAATGCATTGAAACAGCAATGTTTTTACTATATAATAATAATTTTTCAAAAAATGAAATTTTTTGAAAAATTTCAAATTTGCTGCCGGTTCCGGCGCCCGTACGTCCCGACGTCACAGGGACCGGAACACGGAAGCCGGATTCCGGCATCGGCCGGAGGAAATGGCCTGGGACGCTGCAGGGGACACATCGCGGGAGCGAAGGACAAGGTAAGTGCTGCAGGGACCCCCTGAGCAACGCCGCATGGTAAGCCCGAGTGTAGCTCGGGGTTACTGCTCTTGGTACTGAAATGTTACCCCGAGCTACACTCGGGAATACCGCCAGGGAGGTTAAGGCTTTCCTTTCCACAAATTATTTTTATTTAATTGAAATGTGTTTTTGAACTTAGAAAAGTTGACTGCTCCATTAAAGTCAATTCCCTATTACAGCACTCTCCCTTTTTGCATGTTATAGTCCTCTCCTCTCTACTGGGAGTGTCTAATTCCTGTCTGTGCTGGGCCAGCTCTTTTTTTTCACCTCCCTATATAAATGTAGCCACCATGCTGGGAGTGAACGGCAGTACTATAAAGTGCCACTTAAATGAGTCTGTTGGGCCTGCTGACATCCAAGATGGTGGCAGCCAGTAGCAGTCTCGGGGCTTCTGAATGTCTATAAAAGGGAGGTTTTTACAGGTAAATAACATGCAGAAAATATGCCAAATATTCATATCTTTGAGAACGTTGTTGTGGTATAGCATCGGCGTTCGTTTCAGAAACCTTGACTTTCTGAATGTTTGAATATAGACACACAACCTGCTTCCCACTTGGTTCCATCTAGATCTTGTAATGAGTGGTGCGGACATCAAGTTTTACATTGTGGGAGATGGGTGGAAGTTTCAGTATGCTTATGTTTTTGTCTTTTCATTGTTTACATTGATGATGATGATTTGGGGGATTCCTGCGGAGCTCTTCATGCATGCCCAGATTGCCTGAGTCCAGGACTGTTCACTTCCGAGTAATCGCTGCATGAGAGATTACATGCAAGTGGCCCCAATGAGTTGCAGGAGCCAGCAGTCTCCCATTGCTTTCAAAGGGGCTACCTCCCACAGCTATTGCATCTAATCGGAGGTGGGGGGCAATTGCAGGTGTGAATGCATCCTTAAAGTAAAGATATGACAGTTTTGAATTAATGTGAATCCATCTTCTTTACTCACCTTAAAGAAGGGAGCTTGTGAGGCTCCAAAACATTGGCATTGTATGACTTATGAGATGTTCCACTAATAAAGGGGTGAAAAAGAATACTACCCTACAAACCTATCAAACAGGATCATTACAACTGCCAAAAGGTAACTGACAGTGACTTTTGTTGGGAATATCTTTTGAGCCCCTGAACCATGAATCTGCACTTTCAAGAGTGCCTCACTTTAATTTCTTTAATTTCAGATCTACTGTACCTTGTCCTTCTCCCCTAACATCCCAAAACCTAGTGTGGTTCCTCATCAGCCAAAGGACTTTACATCCAAATATTATTTGTTTGAAGGACAACCAGCAGTGGCTGCTGTGTGAATGAATTCTGCAAACAGTTTTTGCTAGGCTTCATTCAGAAACACATTGTTACAACTTTTTTGTCATATTGTGTTTTGTTTATATTTTATATGTAGCAGGGGCAGACTGATCATTTGGAAACTCGGGCACTGCCCGAGGGCCCAGGGTCAGTAGGGGGCTCCATGAGATGCCCCTGGTACCTTTTTCATAGGCTTTTTGAGTTTGTGCAAGGACACAGGGGCCCCATGATCTCCTATTGCCCGGGGGCCCCGTGAGTTGTCAGTCCGCCCCTGATGTGTAGATCAAAGGAGTTTCCCTCCATCTTCATATATACACCTTTTTCTCATTTTCAGTAACTGTGCAAGGATTTAACCCTTTTGCTGCCACTGACATATGACTTACCTTCTCTGCAGTCAGCTGCAACTTTCCCCTCCTTTCCCTTTGGTGGTCCTCCAGCATCATCACATATGATGCAGGGCTGTTAATCCTGAATTGTTTGTATTGAAGGAGGAATCTGCTTAGAGGTGCCTGCAGGCTGGAGGAACATTGCTGGAAAAAGAAATATGGTATTCCCGCACCCCTAGACTAAAGGAGCAGTGAACCCTTGCAGTGCGGAGGGCCTCACTACAAGGCTAGATTTTGTCTAATTGCAAACAAACAAAAGACTTCCCAGCACACTTACCAGCCAGTCTAATGTAAACTGTTAGACAGGGCAATTCAGTTATTTTGCAGGCTGGCTGGTAAGTGAACTGGGGAATCTTTTTTGTTTGCGATGTATGTTACCCTTGCAAAATGCTTTTTTATTTATTTGGAATTTTAGTATTGTGTAGAGTGCTCCCTCTCTATATCAAAGACCTGGTAGGATGGTTTCTTAGGATATTGGGGGTTTTTTTGTTTATTTTTTTTTTTATTTATAAAATATATATATGCTTTATTACAAAAGATTAAAATATGGGCTGAATGACCCATTGACTACTTTAGCATTGTAGTGCATTAGTTCTTTGGGTTTGAATGACTAAAACTGGAGAGTGCAAAATCTGGTGCAGCTTTGCATGGCATGGCAAACAATCAGCTTCTTTTTTTAATATTAGAAAATAGTTTAATATTTAATATTAAAATCTTTTATTAAATTTTATTTCAGCACAAATTAACCACTTCATGTCCGGACACTTTTACCTCCTTCCTTTCTAGGCCAATTTTCAGCTTTCAGTGCTGTCACACCTTGAATGAGAATTGTGCGGTCATGCAACACTGTACCCATATGAATTTTTAGCAGTTTTTTTGAGACAGATAAAACTTTATTTTGGTGGTATTTATTCACTACTGGGATTTTTATTTTTTTTGCTACAGTATATAAATGAAAAAGTCCAAAAATGTTGGAAAAAGTGTTTTTCTTATAAAATGTTGCAAATAAATAAATAATCTTTCTTCATAAATCTTGGCCAAAATGTATTCAGTTATCTTTTTAGTAAAAACAATAACCCAAATTAGTTTATAACCCAAAATTATAATTTTTTTTAAATTTTTTTTTACATTTTTATTTTATTTTTTTTATATTAATGTTTATGTTTTTTTTTTTTAACATACTGTCACCCTAGCAGTACAGTGTCACCATAGTGACACTGTACTACTTGTGGGGGGTGATAAAGACTTTTTTTTTTTTTTTTTTACACTGATTGCTTTTACACCCATAAAGGATGTAAAAGCAATCATTTCTCCTTCTCTCTGGCTGCATTCTTGCAGCCATTGAGAAATACTGTGAGAGCTGTGATTGGTCACAGCTGGTCACATGGTACAAGGCTGTTGTGAATAGTCTTGTACAATGTGATCTCTTTGATCAATCACAGATTTCACAAGTAGTAAGCAATGATGTCAGAAGTGACATCTTGCTTACACCTATTCATGTGATCACTGATTGGACAATCATGATCACATGATCGGGACCTCACACAGAGCTCCCGTTCTGCGATCGGTGTTCCACTGTGTCCTCCGGACACAGCGGGCACCGCATTGCGGTGCCGCGTGCTCCCAGGGAGTGCGCACCATCCAAAATGGTGGGTGCCGTTTATGAACAGCAACCCGCCCCTGCACTGCCACCATCCGGCCGTTTATATACAGCGGCCGGACGGGAAGTGGTTAAAACAGTACACAATTTATCACAACATAAACAGTTTAGCTGTCCTTTTTCTAAGCCCCCTCACCTTCCCAGCCCCGCTATCCCCATATTTACCCGTCAATCTATTTTTACCGATCTCTTTCTAAACCTCTTTACTAAACACCTATGGTCAGTCTACATGATTACCACTCTCCACTTACTCAGTTTAACCCCTTCACACCAGCGCCTCCCGGCCCTTTAAGGATTCCAGAAGCCGGGAGGTGGGACGGGGTTTAGGGTCATGTGACCGCCGTGACGGTGCCTCACGGCGGTCACATGATTGGGAATGGTCCTGATCGAAAGAGGAGATCGGGACCTTTCCGTGAGTACTAGACGTGTGCTGGGACCGCGTTCTTTTTTAATAGAACGCAAATGTGTGACCGCTCGGCGTCTAGGCCCAGACGCCGGGAGGCTGCACATTTGTGTGCAGCCAGCATGAAGAGGTTAAATCTCTAAATCAACCTACTTGGTACCTATTATCCTGAGATATTTTTCTGATGATTTAAAAACATACCACTATTGATATGGTTTCAGGTGATTGTAGCCGTATTACTGCACTTGCAACAGAAAAAAATGAGTAGTGTCCTTAAATTTTTTTTTGTAAGCTTTTGGGGTGTGTCCCCTTCTTCAAGGTCCAAGCAGTACTACTTCAATCTTAGGATATTGTGATGTGTGTTGCCCTTCCATGGGCACTTTGCTGTAAAGGCTAGTATAGGTTGGGATGGTTGCCATTTTTTTTTTGACAGATTTTGTCTAATTTCTTGAGATAGGATATAACTTAAGGGGGAGGGGTTTTGTAGTTCACCAGAAGATAACAAAATAACAGGAAGAGCTGACAGTACAGCTTGGGATTTCAGTGCAGCAGAAGCAGAGTTATCTGTCAATTGCACCTGCCTTTGGCTCCATTCGCATGGGCAATTCCTGTGGTTGGAATTGACAGATGTGTGTGAATAGTAACGGCTGCTGAGCCCATAAACAGTCATAAATATCAGTGGCTACTCTCAGCCTGTCATTGCATTGTACAGTCTCAGAGGCCACAGCTATCCGCAAACATCCGTCAATTCTCTGCAGATTTCTGTCACTGGAAAGTGCAGCGAGTTTAATTTCTGCAATTGGAGCCTTCATAGGCTTACTGTAGAGTAGTTGTTAATGGGCTCAGGAATAGATGGAGTGGGAAGGAAATCGATGGCGTCATCAAATTAACCACATACAGGATGTGACCATCCCTCACACACCCCAAACAGTGGCTCCAGCTTTAACTGCTGAGCATTGCCTTCAGTGAGATGTCTCCAGGCAAATGACTCCATCTTTTTCGGTGTCCCCTCACATGTTTAGAGTCATGTTAAAGCGGAGTTCCAGCCGTTTTCGTGTTTATTAAAAGTCAGCAGCTACAAAAACTGTAGCTACTGACTTTTAATAAACACACACTTACCTGTCCTGGGCTCCAGCGATGTACTCACCCGTGCCGTCCCTTCTCTCCTTCTGTCCTCCATGGTGCCGGCATCTCTACTGTGGGCATCGGGCAGCTTGTGGCTTCATAGACTGGTGCCCACTGTGCATACATGAGTTGTGCTGCACCTTCTGATTGGTCCAGCAGTCTCCTAGGACCTGTGAAAATTCCCAGGAGACTGAGGGAGCAAGAAGGGGGGGCCGAACATCCAGGTCAAGTTGCCACGGCAAACTGAGCCGGAAGTGGAAGCGTGTACCTGTCAAAACCAGGTTCCCGCCCCCCCAACCCAAAAGGTGCCAAATATTGCAGTGGAGGGGGAGAGGAGGCAAATAAGCGGAGCTTCTGCTTTTGAGTGGAACTCCGCTTTAACCATATGCTGCCCAGCCACTGTAGAAACACGTTGGCAGGGCGGCACGGCTAAGCAAAACCACGTTAAAACGTGTGTTTCCAAAACAGGTAGGGGGCACGCGTGAGGAACGCCACCGCCCTACCTGTCCCGCCGATCACGGCCGCGGATGTCAGTCGCTGGGTCACAGCAGGTCGTTACCGGCTGTGTCCCGCCGATTAGCGGCAATCACTGACAGAGAGCAGGGCTGCAGTAGCTCTGCTTTCTGTCAGTTCCCTGTCAGCTCCTGACATGCTGAGCTGGAGAAAAGAGTTTCTCTCTCCCAATCAGCGTGTCCCCCCCCCCCCGCAGTACACACCCCCCGCCCCCTAGTAAAACACTCCCCTCACACAGTTAACCCTTTCAGTAAATAAAAAAGTTAACCCCTTCCTCCCCAGTGCCATTAGTACAGTGTCAGTGTTTTTTTTTTTGCACTGATCACTGTATCGGTGTCACTGGGGATGTCAGTGACCCCAAGTCAGTTCCCCCCCAGTGTCAGAATGTCCGCCGCAGTCCCACCATAAGTCGCTGATCGCCGCCATTATTAGTATAAAAAAAATTAAAAATCCCAGTATCTTTCCCGCCATTTGTAAATGCTATAATTTTCACGTAAACCAATTAATTTACACGTATTGGAGTTTTTTTTAGCAAAGACATGTCGCAGAATAGATTTTGGCCGAAATTTATGACGAAATTTGATTTTTAAATTTTTTTTACTGGACATGTTTTAAAGCAAAAAGTCCAAAATATTGTTTTTTTTTTCTCAAACTTGTCAGCCTTTTTTTTATAGTGCAAAAAAAAACGCACAGGCGATCAAATACCACCAAAAGAAAGCTCTATTTGTGTGAAAAAAAGGACATAAATTTCATTTATGTACCATATTGCATGACCGCGCAATTGTCCGTTAAACTAGCGCAGCGCTGTATAGCAAAAAAATTGCGTAAATTGCAGTATTTATACCATAGTTTGTAGACGCTATAAAGTTCACACAAAGCAATCAATATACACTTATTGGGATTTTTTTTACCAAAAACATGTAGCAGAATACATTTTGGCCTAAATTTATTACTAACTTTGAGTTTACTATATATTTTTTATAGCTGAAATTAAAAAAATATCATTTTTCTTCAAAATTGTTGGTCTTTTTTTGTTTATAGCGTAAAAAATAAAAAGCGCACAGGTGATCAAATACCACCAAAAGAAAGCTCTATTTGTGTGAAAAAAAGGACGTAAACTTCGTTTGGGTGCAGCATTGCATGACCGCGCAATTATCAGTTGAATTAGTGCAGCGCCGAGTAGCAAAAAGAGGCCTGGTCATTAAGGGGGGTAAATCCTCAGGAGCGCAAGTGGTTAAGGTAGATATACAATCAATCACTAAAATCTACTCCAAGCTTTAACCTGCTAATGTGAGTTCAAAAGTCATTTTCTATATAAAAATAATACCTGATGATCCATCTCTGATGGACCTTGTCATGGACTTCTTGTTATATAGTGACAACCCTGTCCTTCAAAACACACACCAGCAAAAAGGAGACCAGAGCAAGTGGTAAAAGAGCCCACATCACTTTCAGGGTTTACACATAAGGCCTCATGCACACTGGATGCTCTTAACCAACGCTGTAGACACCGTTCTCCTGGCAGCAGAAAAACCCTTTTGCTTATAAAAGTGCATCCCATGGTAAGTCGCATCAAGTTCTTGGATGTTAATTCACTTCATTGACCAGAATAATTATTTTGGCCATTGAAATGAATTAACACTCAAGCCCAAAACACACCTAATGTCAACGCACGTTTAGACACATTTACACGTATTTTTGCCGCATCTGCCAAAACTCTCTTCTCCTGAATGAGACACTTCTAAAGCTTCTAAATGCTACCACTTCTAAACTCTGGTAAAAGGTGTAAAGCCCCCAAAATTCTGAAATGTCCTTATAGTTCCGTCCCTCTAAGCCATCTTGTAAGGGATTTCTTGGCTTACCTACTGTAAGTTTAATGTCCAGGTCCCTCTCCACCACTGCTTCCTACTGCAGGGACCGCTGATCCAGATGTGTAGGTTATCCATCACCATCCAAACCCCTAACGTGCTCTCACAACAATGTCACTCCTCTTCTGGATAAAGCACCCCATCACTGGACAGCCAATAGGAAGTGTCCACATCACGCAGGGTAATGATGTAGACACCTAAAGGTGGACCCTGCCAGAAGAAAACAGAAGGGGGTTGAAGGATCAGGACCCTAAAGCCATATGACTGTGGGTTTGGGTAAGTAGAAAGGATATTTAGAACATTTTTGTTTTTTTTTTTTTGCATTCTAGCATTCAGCCAGAGGATAGTAAGAAGGAGTGGTTTCTTTGCCAAAAGACGGCCTTTAAGAATTTGTCAAAACTTGAATGGACTCAAGAAAGGCCTTTCTTCTATTGATCTGTATAGGTATACTGTTTATATGTTGCTGGACCAGGAGAGTCAATACCTGTTATGTGAGCATTATTGGCAGTAAAAACAGTTACCTTATGGATAGCCATTGACTGATTCACTGTAGATAGACTTTCAACCACTAATTAAACATGGCTCAAATTTTTTGTTCAGTGGTTATCCTGGGTGCATACTGTTCCAGTAGGATAAGATACATCAACATGCATTGGGTTAAGGCAGCCTATTCATTTTAAGTTGGCTGCCAATGCACCCCAGCGTGTGTTGGGGTGCAATTGTGACATCACCCACCCTTCTTTATACCTCGTCCAATCAGAGAACACCTTATATTCAGTGAAAAAGATTATTTGAATGGTGATGGTTGTGAGAGAGTGACCCGCTTGATCAGTGTGCATTGGGGAAGCCAATCAGCTCAGGACCCCAGAAGATTGCGGCGGTCACTCTAGTAGCACCGACTACTACAGTGATTATCAACTTCCACAGTGGTCCCTCAGAAATGAAATATGCATACATCCAGTGTGTCAAGCTGGTCCAATATAAGTATGCAAATAATA